ATGAGGTAATTTACTGCTTCCAAAAAGGTAGATGTTTTTTTTTAAGAAGTAACTTCATGAAGGCACATTCTACCCCCAGAATGTGTTTTCCTTCATGTGAAAGGGTTGATTTTGGCTTATAAAACTAATCCAGTCCTCTTCAAAAGTGGTCATATGTGCATAGCAAAGGGTTTGAATAATGTTGGAGAAAAGGGATACAGCATCTTTTCTAAAAGCATTGTGATACTAAAGGTTGGGGAAAGATCATTGTGTCTTCGGAAATGAATAGGTTGGCGCCTCTCGGTATGACCTTTCTCAATCATTTGAATAAGCCAGAGCCCCAGAAATCCATCTGCACTTTGTCTTTTGTGAATTTCACCAATCCTTCATTCCCCCTCACCAAGAAAATACATGCCTTTAAATCTCTCTGCCATGGCAGATTTGAAATATAAAGAAAATTAAATGTATGAAATAAAAACATCAAGTGAAACCTTATTTCGGGTAATTAACTGATCTGTTTTTAAGGGAATCAGAAAAAAGGTTCTTTGCAGTATTAAAGAAAGACCTGGGAAAAATAGGTATTTCCTGACTTGGTGCCAAATGTTTTATGAAACACTTGTTTTATGGCAAAAAGTAGAGACTGAGGTGTGTAGAATATGTAGGCAGCTGAAAATGTGGTTGTAGCTTAACATAAAAGCTGTTAAGTTTTACGCATTTTATTCATGTCATACCCTTTTGAAATTACCAAATATTCTTTCAGATCATTTTGAAAGTAAAAGCTCCAAAACGAATTGGAAAACACTCATAATTGTGAATAAAAAAATGTTGAATATTTCCTAGTCATCTATCATCCAGATTCACTGTCTCCTGGATTTATCATGTGATATATGTGTGTGTATAGTCTTTATACTGTATGCTCAATAAATACATAGCCTATATTAATGTTTTGTTCCTAGATGTTTTTATCATTTAATTAATAAGAAGCACCATTTATTTTCTACCTGAAACAGGAGAAAGAGGATTACCAAGAGTGTATTGAAAGAATAATGGCTGCATACTTCTGGCAATACAGAAAGGGTAACAATGTTTGTCTGCTTACATTTGCTTACGTTAACTGGAAATTTGCAAGTACAATTTCATCAGGACCCATGGACAATAGTTGTTTTTTTTTGTGTGTGAAACAGTTTTTCCCTCCTTGTTCCAATAGACAATATATGCTGTTCTAGAGAAGAAAATGGCTTTTGAAAATAATTTAGAGATGAGGGGTTCATCAAAGATTATTTCTGCCTCATTCAGCATAGTCACTACACATTCTTAAAGAACCCCCCCAAAAAAACATAAAAATTTCGCTGACCATTGAAAGCTATTTCTGAAAAAACTCAAATAAGTTCATAATTGACTCAGAACAATTGGTGGAACAAAGGTCCTGTGTACCATCATGTATTTCTTTACTGGTCTGATAAGTTCTTAAAACATGTAAAACATGTGGGGTTGAAAAATCCTGTTCCAAAAATATTATATTATAATAGTATTGCAGCAACAAAAAATAAAAAAACAGCATTGATAAACATAAAATTGATATAACAAATTTAACTCCCTATTATCCTGCTGGATTACGCATTTTCAGGCAGAGGAGGTATATTTATTATTTATTTTAAATCTTTTAGTGCTGACGTATGCCTTGGAGCTGGAAAGCAGTTGTCAGGGTTCCCTGTTAATACTAAATGCCATTTCTAAACATTTGCCATTATTTGTGTGCTACTTTAGCTGGAAATACAGATAAATAAGGAACATTATACCATATAAATGTACTGTATTAATCTTTCATACTGATTTGTAAAATTTAAAGTGATTTCTTATGTTGGCAGGACTGTATAATAGGAGCTAGGTATGTCTAATACAAACTATATATATATAATTTAATATAATTTTGTTTTGTTTTTTATTAAATTTTCCCTTGAAATAAAATGAATATTCTCTGGACACCACCTTTCACAATAATTTTTTTTGTATTTCTGTTTATAGTTTGGCTGTGTTTCATCAAACATTAGGATAACAAAATCTAATAATTAATTGTGGAGGTTAGAGAGGGATGGTTATTTAGGTCTATGCATTCTTAAAGCAGACAAATCTGAGAATACAGAAAAATGAAAAATATCTTAATATAAAATCCGATAATGTATACCTGTTTTTCTATTTTTTTTAAAAACATATATTGTTTCCTAAAATAATTTTGAATTATTTGTCGGATGTAAGATGTGTTCATACTTTTATAATTACCGTATATCTGTTTATAAGACACGATTGAAGAAGCTTGTATTTTTTTTTCAGTTTACCGTTCTTTTAAACAATTTTTTTAACACAATTCTTTAAAAAATCAAAAACAAAGTAAAGCTAAGTGTCATGCAGTGACTTAAAGTGGAAACGTTAATATATATTTGGTAACACATTATGTCCAGTTTTTGTAAAAATGTAAATGAACCTAAACACATGTGGATCATCAAACACAGACTGATTTATAAATAGTGTATGTACTTTTTCTACTCTGTATGTATGCACCCCTTATTTGACGTGCATATGATTTGATATGATTTGCTCACAGTCATTATATTTATATATATTTGTATATATAATGAAGGGTGTTAGCGCAACTGCAGTAAAGTGACAATTTTTTTTCATTAAAATCGAGAAACTATCCATATCTCCAAGCAGCTGACAAGACTGAGCTGGTAAATACAGACTACTCATTATAATCAGTGATAACCTATATGAGGCTGACATGGCAAAGTGTGCATAAAGTTTAAAATGTCTTTGTGTGAAGAAAAGTGACAAATAATCAAAATAATTTAATCTGGATGTTTCTTGCACATGAAAGAGTAACCATCTCTAGTAGTAACAGCCCTAACCTTAAGCGGAGTTAAAAAAAGAGAAAAGATAGGAAAAAGGCTATGTAAAACAAAATTAGATACTTTGATGGACTTTTTTTAACGCCATGCTGGAACAGGCCGTACCAATTTAAACATGGAACCTACACTTAATGCATTCTGTGTTATGCTCTACTTCCCTGCAAATCACACCCATTCAAATCAAAAGGCATAGGTTACTGGTAGTATATTTTGTGGATTTCGCGAGCTTTCCTACTTTACTTTTTGAATATTTGTTTAGAAAATATGTTTTACGTACAGTATCTTGCTTTTATAAAGAGATCTTTAAATTATATATTTTAATTATATATATTTTAAATTTTGACTGGTTCTTTTAGTTTTGTGTGCAAAGAGGCATTTTGTCAATAAATTTGCCATATTTATTCTACTGTAGATATTTTTCATTTAAGCTATAGTGCAGCATGTTCACTTCAAACCTAAGTGTATTGGTCAGATTAATTAACAATGTCAATGTAAATGTGTCTCAGATCCATACATGTATGTCTACAAATATATTACAAATTGTTTTTCGGAAATCCAGTGCTTTGGTAGTGGTAGTTTTGTCACGTATAAACATAGAATTTAAAACATTATTTTTCTTTGTTATTTAGTCAATTAACTGCATAGTTCCATGATCCTCCCCCCACACCACACCACCCTGGAGGCTTAATACTAAATTGAAGCTCTTATGGTGCAGATACATCATTGGGGGCTCTTGCTGGGGCTATAGTTCTCTGCCTTTGAGGCACTTTGTGAATTCTTTCTTTTTTTCTTAAATGATGAACACAGCAGCTAAGAATTAAATCTGCGGCTGATCTGTACCCTAGAAACAGGATATTCTGCCACACATGCATTTCAAAACAATTCTCCACAGCTAAGCGTTTACTGTCAATCCACCTCCTAAGACTTACAACCCTGACAATCCTTCTCTGCAGAACATAACCAAGTAGGGACCATCCTGGTCTCTCATTCAAGCCATGTTTCTATTAACTCAGAGCCTGGGTAATATCTAATCCAGGGAACTGAAGGAAAGACGGCTAATTAGCGACAAGCTTTAACAGTCAAGACTAACGATAATTGCTTGGTGGCCCTTCTGACGCGGAGATAAAATGAACTTTTACTTTCCAAGAAGTGCCCAAATGTGTATGCCATGCAAGACAGGGTAGAAAATAGAAGCTGGCGAGTTGAATGCAAAGCATAAAATTACTACTGGAACGGAACGGGGGGATAATGAATAGACTAGCCCGGCATTCATAGTGTGTTTGGGGGGGGGGGGGGGGGGAATCCATTTTTGTAACACTGTGAAAATTGGGTGGCAGAAAAAGGGGTTGCTAATTGTTCCAATCTTGTAAGAGCCAGAAGAGAGCCTGGGCGTGCTTTTCAATTTATTTCCCTGGTAATTGTGGAAAAGGGACTGTTGGCCAAATAAGTCTAACTGAAATTTGCGGGCCTCATCTTTTCATTCTCACGTTGTGCTCTTAATTGTTGCTAATACGCCTTTATAATGAAACTAATGAGGGGGAATTATTGTACAAATGTCCGCACATGGAGTGAACCAAAATCCAGCCGAGCGATTATCGAGTCTTCCTGAGCCGGTTCCCCCTTGAAGAAACCTTCCCATTGTGATCAATAACAGTTGCAATTTTCTGCTCTGGAAAAATAAAGCGGTGCAAGCTCTTCTGCCTGTAAGGCAAGAATGAATCTTCTATCTGTAGTAGAAGTCGCTAAGATTTGGCTAAGCCCTGTAAAATAAGACTGCTTCTGTGCTGAAAAGCTGATAAAAAATGCTGTGGCAGTTGGATGATAAAGCTGCATTTTGTGGTGCTTTAAATTTATTTGATTATGTATGACACAACAAATGGATTGGTAATGTCTCTTCTCCGGAAAATGAGGGGTAAAATTATACATCTAGTGTATATACTGGATGGAGTATATGGTATTTTGACGTTTTTAGTGAATTTAAAGCATTATATTGAGTCGTTTCAAAACAGTTATAAAAAGCATATGCGAGCATGTTTAATAATGTTGTGTACTATTTTACCCAGGCCTTAATGCTTCCTTTTGTATATGACGTTATATTATATTTATGTCTTTCAGAAGAGCCAGTTGAAGCTGTTGCCTCTCAAGTCGGACAAAGAGAATTCTACCAAGTTCCTGATTCTGACACTTATCTCCATAGTTTGTATAATTGGGGTGCTGGTGGCCTCAGGGGTGATTTATTGCCTGCGCCATCGTTCTCACCACAAGCTAAAGGAGAAATTAACTGGTTTAGGAAGTGACACTGGCTCAGATGCTACTGCCACATACCAGGTAAGATGAATCCTTGTGTAAGAGTTGTATGAACCCTTTTATGTCCTCATTGTCACTGCGGTTTATATCAAATTCTTTTTGGTGATATTAGAAATGATCACTTAAGCCACTAGATATCATTTATTTAAATTGGTTGGGAACAAGTGTGAATGCTTTCAATAAAATGACTTTCGTAGTTTCTCAAATACAAAAGATAAACACTGTAGCTTCACAAACAGCTGTACAATATACAGTATAAGCACAAAGAAGAAAACAATAAATGCTATTTTAAAAACTGTGTAATAAACAGCAACAAATTGTTATGTTTTTCTAATATTTCTAGAATCCAATAAATTATCTTCTTATTTTTGGTCAAGGCATCAAACACAGAAAATATATTCTTAAGTTTTTGGTTTATTTGGAAAGATTAATTGATATTAGAAAGAATGCATTTAAGCCATATGAGATCAATGTTCAGATCTAATGGCTTATTTTGACAATTATATTTCTGTATACTACATACACTGCACACTTTTTGTTTTGTGATTGAAATAACCAGTTATTTGTCGATAAAACTGTAAAAAAAAAACAGAAACCCTATGAGATTTTTGTTTGGAGTGTGTTTTACTTATACTTTTGCATTGGCAACTATGTTCTTGTAGTTATTCTTAAATATTATGTTTAAAGAAGATACCCAGTCAAAAATCATAATTGTGTGTAATACAACGCCTGAAGTTAAAGATGGAATATGTTTTAGAGAATAAAAGGCAAACAAATGCATGAAATGCATTATTTAAATTAAATTATATACATGACAACTCAGTCATAGCCTTTAAAACATGACACCATGTGATTCCATTTTTTAAGCAATGTATGATAGTTGAATCATTCATTATTGTTAAATGCTGTTAATCAATAATAATTACAGTATCATTTCAATTTGCAGATGTTGCTTATTATTTCGAAAGCTGTTACAAGTTTTAACCTTCTAAAGCTGAAGGCTTGTGAGACACTTGTTACATGTTTGTTTATAAATGAACTCCTAATTGCATTTTCAAGCAGAACACTGAACAGTATGATCTAGTGCCCCATTATCACGTACTCTTTTTGAAATGAAGGTCATTTGCTTTACTTAAAAATATCCTGGGTACATTGTTTTAACCTATTACAGTACATGTGCGTTTTACCAGGACTTGCCAACTAATCTCAATTTGATAAGCTAGAAAAAATTGGACCTCCTTGGACTGCAGTTAAGGCGATGAATTGTACATAGCTAGAATAAAATAATCTTACTGTGAGTGATATATGTGATGATATTCTACAGTTATTCAAGGGTACTGCAAGGTATGCTGCCTGATTAAAAGTGCATTTAACAGTTTTATAAAAGGTTTGAACTCCAGCCACTTAAATTTCTGGGTCTCACTGTTATAATTAACAGAACAAAAAAAAAGTCCTAGTGACAGTTCTAATTAATATAATCCATAATTAAAAGCGTGCCTTTTTTTAGCAAGGAAATTGTTTAAATTTCACTGACTGACCTTTTTTCTCATTCCTTCTGGGGGTAGAGTGTTTAAGTCGATATTGATTTTATAATGAGCTTGACTTTAATATGGAAGTAGCTTGGTCACATGGTAGACCAAACAGCACACTGCCTTCCTGTCGTTTTAAATTTCATCATTCAGTTTAAAAACATGGGATTTTAGAAATAGGGTTGTTTCCTGGACTTGGTTTTCATTTGTACATGCCCCTATCTAAAGGACTTTCACCTGGCATAATGTCATGCCGTAGAACCTGATTTTTCTCCTCCGTGTTCTCAAAAGTCTGTTTCTGAATCACATTGATCCCTTCCGTTCGAGAGGAGTTCAAATTTTAATATTGATTCCATTATCTTAGCTATTGCCATGTAATACAGTATAAGGTTTAGCAGCATTTAAAATGCTGTAACCTTTGCTTTGGATCGACAGGCGTAATTTCATCATACAGATGAAGTAAAGCTGTGAAGCTGTTGTTGCACTCATTGCTCTGTCAAGCTTGCAAGTTAAGATATATTGTGAAGCATTTATTATAAATTTAGTTTTTATATATTTAGTTTAGTTTTTAAATATAGTTTAGTTTTTAAATATTGACTATGTAACCTGATAAAGCCATTTAAACTGGTTTATACATTAATTGTTACTAAAGTTGTTGGATGTGCATCATTAGAGAGCACCAACATTTAAAGTACAGCTTAAAATAATATAGTTAGCAAGCAGCTAAATGGCGTAGATATGATTATATAAATGAGTATAAAACAGGTTAATTGCTAAAAAGCAGACTAGTCTAACAGATTAGTAGCTTGATGAAGTCAGCTGTGTATTGAACACTTAATCAAATATGGCTTTTCAATAAAGCTTTCAAATGGTCTTGTTTTTGTGAAATTAAATAAGAAATAGAGGTGATGGAAAATTCCAAATTTAACTCAGGTCACATTTCATGTGTGGTTTTATTCAACTCAGTCTTTTTATTTTTTCAGCTGTATATGTAATTTCATCATATCATGCTGTGCATTTAAATTTATTTTAAAGTGGATGTTAAAGAGATGAATCAGCAGGTTATTGAAAGTCAGATAAATTCTTTCAAACAGTCTTTTTTGCATGAAATCCTTACAAGAGAGTTTGTAAGTAATGAGTAGGTAGTTGCTTGAATTTTCCTAAGAAGTGATATTACAAATAATCATACCAGTTGACATTTAAAGGCCTTGTATTTTAAATACAGGCTTTTGCCTGTACATTAAAACTGCACAGACACGCTATAAAATAACCCAAATCACTGTCTGAACCTCAAATCAATGTATTTATTATTTTGTAGAGTGCCCCCTTCACTTTTTGTCATTTAAAATGTCTTCAAAATAAACAGTTTGTAGGAAAAAAATAGAAAATTCTTTGAGAAAAGAATGTTAACTTACAGTGACTACACTGTTATATGCTTTAGTCTATGGTCTGTAAAACGAGTTCTCAAAACAAATTTCACAATTTGTTTTAAAATTCAGTTGTACCATTCCTAACAGTCAGTGGCAAGGCACAGTGTAAATTAGAAATGTGGAGTTATTTTTATTTTTCAGCACACTTGTAGTAAAACACAGTAAACCATCCAGAATATAAACACAAATTGAGAAGAAAAAATGTATTTTGTATTGTTTGTTCCAGTGTAGATGGCAATATTATCGAACAATGGAGTCTATTTACCCTTTCCCACTAAACAGCATCAAGGAACACTTCTGAATGTAATGGATAATTAAAAAACAATGCCCTTACACGTGCCGGGAAGCTAATCTTTCAAACAGTTTAGTTGTGGTCTGGCCTGTGCCGTCTTTACACAACCTGTAAGCCTTTTTTTTGTTTTTTCGCCAGACTGAACTTGTTGTCTGCGTGCCACTTCCCTTTATATTAAGAAAGGCTCGGAGAAAAAAAGCCCTGCATTCATGTGTCTGAGACAGTGTACAAACAGTGCCGCCCAGTCCAAATCCTGGCTGTCATCGTCCCCATTAGCAAGAGATTATTAATGTAATGGCGGAGTGTGCATCCACATTTGGCACTCTTTAGAGATGCTCCATTGGCTTGGGGTGATGTATTAGGGAGTCGTGCCACAGGCTGACTTATAACCTTCTATTGTGTGAACTTGACTGTGCTTATCAGTATTGTGTTGATTTTTTTTTTCTGTCAGGTTACACATTTATTTAAGTGCTTAGGTCGAAGAGCAGAGAAAAGTAGGCTAGTGTGCTGGAGCTTTTTAGCTTGTTTTTCTCCCCAGTGGTGATTTAAATGGTTGTGGTGTCATTATATAGCAAACCTCTGTAAGTAAGTGGTATCTCCGTGTTAAAATGCACATAATGTTGACATCCATTGATTCAGTCATTGCATATGCTGGTCTGTCTATGTTTGTAATAAATTGGATCAAAATAGGATTTTTTAAACCTGTATACTTGTTAAATGAAAACACGTCAAGACTGTAATTGCCACAATTTACATTGCAGAACTAGTAAAAATAATGATAGTAAGATAACGATGGTGTAAAAGAGAAAATAAAATGATGAATACATTTTACAAGGGTATTTGAATTACATTGCACTGTATATAACTTAAAGATTCGTGACATTTGATTTGTTTGTTTTTTCAAAAGGTATACCAGCTAAAAGAGTGTTTAACCAAATAATTTAAAAATTGTAAAATAAGATCTTCCATCCTCCACATTTTTAATACAATTGTATCTGACATAAAAGGCATTTCTCCATCACAGGAGCTCTTCCTAGACTCAGTCAATCAGCTCTTGCATCATCCGTATAATTTTTTTCTCAAATTTGCATTATTACAGTATGTGGCAGATCAAAACACCAGACCTTGAGTGTGCATGTGATGCCTAATTGACAAGATATTTTTCTGCCTCCTGGTTTTCAATTGTTAATTTCACATGGAAATCAAGCCTTGTGAGATTGGTACTGTCTACATCGAATGCAGAGGTGAAATTACAATTCTTTGGAAGACAATAGAGAAATCCTACAGCCCGACGAAGCAGACGCTATCAGGAGAGTTGAATAAGATTGCCGCCTTCAAACAGTGAATCGTCTCCATTTTAACAGAATGACCGCTTGAATGGAGAAAGAGTCTGAAGAATGTAATCCTAATTCTGACTCAAAACACTGCAGAATGATCAGAGTAGAACGGAATTCATTTGGAAAATATGCAACTCTTTATGCAAGGTTGAGATTTGTGGGCGGGAAGTGTTACAGACTTGCAGTACTTATTCTTTATGATAAAATCCATAAGATGGGGTTTGGAAGTTTGCATGCTACGTTATATCCTGTATATCCAACATATGTTAACGTACAGACATCCCTGACTATATAAACAGGGAGCTAAGAATGAATGTGTTGGTAAAAAACCTGTATTATACCCAAGAAGCTTAGTACCACATGTGCTAATTCTTCTTTCAGTACAACTTTGTTCTCCTACCTAAACAGATTCATTCCTCTTGTGTGTTATAGT